CTTACACACGATTGGCTATAACACTGACAGAAGACATTACAGTGATGCTGCTCCAGAGAATTGTGCACTGATGAGTGCACTCCGACTATGTCCAATGTGGTTCTCCCCTTAGTGGTTCTCCCCTTACAGCTAACATTATGTTGTGCGCTCGGTTGGGTCGCAATGTCGTTGTGGCTCTGGTGGGCCAACGCGGTGTCGCAAGAGGACTTGGTAGCACCCATCGCAAACGCAAAGTGCTAAAGCCGCCACTTAAGCACTTGAGATGGGTGCCACCAAGACGTCTTGCGTCACCACCCGCCCAACCACGTGATCACACCGGCACGGAGGTGTACGGCACCGACACAGGCTGGATGGTGAAACGAGACCTGTTAGAATTGACTGAGTCCTGAATACCACATCACATGATCTTGCTCTCATACACAGCCTACAATTATCTCAAGGCTCCTTACATCAACCGCCATCACAGCAACAGGGCGTCATGAATCTACGCAGGGATTTTCGTGATTTCACCGTATCTGATTGGACAAAATTGGACAATTTTGAATTCGCAAGGTGACCTGCCTTGCGAATTCCAAAAAGAGACAGACACATGAAAAATAAAAATCATCAATACAAACTTGAAGATATATTTAATTGAAACTTTACAATTTCAGAATTATTTATGGAATTCGCAAGAAATTGCCTATTTCTCCTTGCTTTTTCTGGTTAATGACGAATTAAAAAACTACTTCGGTAGCACTACAGTCCAATTGTATTGATATCAGAAATATTGGAAGTTAGTCAGCTGCTGGTTTAAAGATTTAATAATATCTTACATCGTGTTCGAGAAGTTAATCGGCATCAGCAACAAGGGAATGTAGAGCGATTAAATTATGAATTAGGTACGATATTGAACGGTTATATGAATTCAATTGAAACTGGAAGTGAGTATAAAGAATGGACCGACGTAATTGATTCGGTTAGCGAAGTACGAAATAAAATGACAAAGTTCCAAGGAGGGGTCAAATTATCAACTTTTAAATTTGGCGATGTGCAAATTGGTTCTATTAAGGTAGGCGATCGTGTTTACTATCGTTCTGACGTTCCTTTAACTGTCCTAGGACATAAACAACGACCTTATCGATTTAGAGCAGAAGATTCCCACTTTAATGTCTATGACGCTAGAGAAATAAAACAA